CAATAGGAACTTTTCTAAATGTGTGAATACGTTTTTCGACATGGCGACCAAGTTCGCACGTGCAAACGCAGGCAAGAAACACCTCCGAAGCATTGTGGCTCTGGTTGGGTCCGTCTCAGAAAAAAGTGATGGGGTGCCGTTGAAATCAGCAAAGTCGCTGTAGAAATGGGACTTCCTCCACTCATGCGATCCATATATCGTTTTGACAGCATCAGAACTTGCACAAGCTAGTTTGTTTGGTGCGACCTCTACGAGGGGTCCTGGGAGGAAGTTTGAGTGAGCCGTATATTACCTGCATCTTTTTCGCACACACATACCATATGCACGTACTTGACGATCAACAAAGTACATTTTCCGCCCAGTGAGGCCAGATACCCACCACCGAATGCCCCATACCTTGTCAATGAGTGCCCCGGGAACAATTGCGGTGCTGGACAAGTGCTTTGCGTAGACGATCTGTTGTGCACCAAGTCAACGAGTGGTCAAACCGAGCCTCCCCCGACGCACGGCAGGGAAAATACCTTATAAGTGAAGTAGACAGCCAGGACGCAAAATAATACTCGCCACTTGTTCAGCAGATTTTCTGCACTTAACGAATCCAAAGCCGCCATTCTAAACGTACGATGCTGTAAATTGGAATATGCCAAAGGTTCAAGATTGTCAGCACATGCGAGTATCGACAACAAGTGAACCGCGATCCGAAAAGCCCCCTTTCGAGACTTGACAAAGGGTTTGATCACCAGACCCAGCGCAGAGGTATAGCCTAAGCGCCATTCGCCTTCCGAGATGGGGGTCGCAGCAAGTGGGCGAGGAAGACGGACAACTTGCGTTCTGCCATCCGGAAGCTTGACTTCGGCTTCCGGTCCACATGTGGCCCCGCACTTAGTGTAAGGAGGAGGATGCATCTTAGCTAGCGAGATGCAACCCGAACTTCCTGACCACACCCTTGCTTCTGAAATCGTATTTACTGGTGCTGAATGTCATTTAGACTAAGGAGGGGAATTTTCGGGTCGGTGTGAGATGTGGGCAGATTCAAAACGGGTCGGCTCTGACGGATGTGTGCCCACAACCATCTCCGGATCCTGATACTATGCCACTCCGTAAACTTCACGTGAAACCGGAAGGAAGACTGGTGTAGCGGGATGCAGAACGAATTTAACTTCTCCCCGCTATACGAGGCTGGTGAAGAATTTGAGAATATCGGTCTGCAGTCTGTTGTTCAAGCCAATATTTCCCTAGGTATCTTTTTGGACAACATTCCAATATGATCTCTGGCACAATTCCAACCTTCCAGACCGCAGCTGTTCTCAAAGGTCCATATGGAGAATACCATACTATTGTTGAAAACTGGCCTGTGCCAAGACCTGGTCCGGATGAAGCTCTTGTTCGTATCGAAGCATCGGCGATTTGCTCTGGGGACATCAATCCTCGCGACGGATATCCGCCAGCACCCAAAATTCCAAATCGTCCTTTGGTGAGCGGACATGAAGGAGTCGGATATGTCGTTGCTCTTGGGGATAATACTGGGAGCTCTGCTGGATTTGCTGTGGGAGACCGAGTAGGCCTAGGATGGAGACGTTCTACGTGCCATAAATGCAGTTTATGTGAAGGTGGCAGAGAAAACATATGTCAAAATGTGACGGTAAATGGTTACGATGGACACGGTACGAATCAAGGTTCGTAGGATTCATTCACGGATATACTCTTGGTTGACTTTAGCAGAGTATGTTGCATTGCCGGTTTCCGACTTAATATCCATACCAAAGACTACGGCAAGCGCGACAGAACTGGCGCCTTTGCATTGTGCTGGAGGAACTGCTCTTGGAGCTGTCCGCTCAGCCAACTTGAATCCTGGAGAGTGGTTATGTGTTGCTGGGGCCGCTGGCGGTGTTGGTGGTCTCGCTGTTAAGTACAGCAAACACTTTGGATACCGTGTGGTTGCTATCGACAGCAGTCACAAAGAGAGTTATTGCAAGAATCTAGGATCTGATGCATTTGTTGGCTATGAAGAAAGCACAACCGTTGTACAACGAGTTACGGAAGCCACGGGTGGGGGTGTGCATGGAACTGTTGTCTGCAATGCATCTCCAGCATCATACTCGTTAGTCTCCTCCACAGCTTCCCGTTTCGTACCACAAATCTCCAAGCCTACTGAGACTTAAAAATAGGCAAGCCATTGAGTATTCCAACGCCGGAGCAACGATTGTCTCTGTCGGACCAGCAATGATACAGTCCGTAGTCCTTGCAAGAACTAAACGTCACGATCGCTAATGGAAGACTTAGGCTCCACACTGGGCATCTTATGCAAAAAGGCTTGAAACTGGTAGCGCAAACCAATGGCTCTAAGCAAGATCTTAAAGATGCGCTAGCGTTCAGCAATATTGGACTTGTGTCTTCGATAGAAAGAATACCTTTAGCCAGTATAGACGTGGCTTTGGATGCCCTCAAGCTTGGGAAAGTAGTTGGACGTCAAGTGATTTCATTTTCATAGTTATACTTTAGGGAATAGATGAACGAAATTCGTAAGCATTTTTTTATATCCTAAGACCTCAATCTCCTACGCACAACGCGTTGCTCGCTCGCTTTCACTCCAACAACCACGAGCTTTAAACCATCCAGGATTCTATAAGAAAATAAGCGGTGAACGGACTCGGTGTTAGAATAGACAAACTTATGCCTGAAGTGGTCTTGGTGCTCAAGTTAGGACGATCTAAAACCTCATCCAATACAGCAGCTGGTGTCCGAGCCGCTGCAACAAGGATTACCAGGGAGGCCGCATTGTCGGATGCAGATCCCGAGATCGTTTACACAAGATATATAGCCCTGGAATGCGGGAGATGAATTAATAGCACAGTCACCGGGCTGCCTCCCTGCTAATCTGCGAGCTGGTGCATAATTGGTATGCTAAATTTTATGATTTATGAGAGCGCTGCAGTTTTCAAAGGAATAACAACGGCCATGCATTCCGCAAACCCCTTTCATTTTCTTTCCTCAACGAAGGGAAGTCGGTGGTTCGTACGAGAATCCAATATCTCCCCAGATACTTCTATCCCTTGGATAATACTCGTCTGGAGATATAGACTGCTCGCTTTGCCAAATCTCAAGTATGCTCTGCAGAGCAAATTTGAAATCTCCGTGGTACTCTCCATCATCAACAGGCTCCTCTTCTACCTCGTCGTCGTTCGCTTCTTTGTTGCCACTCGCCTCGCCGTGCGTATCATCGCTGCCAATCTCTATGCTGCCGCTTCCATCACTCTGACTTTCCTCGCTCTCGCTCTCCTCGTCGTCGTTCTCTTCAGTCCACGTAGTACTTACGGCAGTCAGATATGGTAGGAATGGTATATCCCTTCTCATAGCTGGGCCTCCCATGGTGAATATTTCCGTTGCTGGCGGACCATAGACGCGAAGCATAGATTCAATTGCTTCGCGATCCACCATCAAACAAAGCCAGAGACCTTGATAATCCAAGCCATTGGGATAGGCAGCAGCCGCCAAAAGACTCTGAAAAAGCCTGCACGAAGTTAGCGCCTTGAATGCGAAAAGTAAGGTGGTCCCCACTCTCGGACCTCGTGAGGTCCTCCCCGTTCAAGTTTGGCCTTGTCCTCAACCCAATGCCACGAAACATTCCTCCGCCGAATGGCTTTTGGTACGAAGAATTGTCGTTCCATGAATTGGTCCCAGCATGTCTTGTAGAGCTCAAAAGTCTCGTCGCTGCTGTAGTCTACGCGAAAGATAGGGTAGCTTACAGGCCCTTGAGGTCCTCCAAAATCAGGGTACACATCGAGAGGAGTGTGGAAGCCGTGTAGTTTACAACGAGCTTTGACTGCATCAAGACAATTAGCATGGTGAAGGGCGTTGAGTAGTGTAATCGTCTATTGTCTCGTCAACTCATGCATTCTTCAATTATATATAGAGGTGCAAGAGCTCAGGAGTAAAGCGGTTATGACTCACGTGAATAGGCAATGAGAAATAGTCAGCATTAGAACAAGTCTTCAATCGCTGCCAATTGCTGCCTTGATTTGGGGCGAGAATAGCATTGATAACTCTTCGCGTCCATTCCGATTCTTCTTGCCATTCTGCCTTCGGATCTTTTTCACTGATGGCAGATCTCAGCTCTTCGATTGTTGTACTCGACCACTGTTCAAGCGGCGGAAGAGTGGCGAGAACAGATTCAAAAATGCTCTCGGCGTCGCTGGTTTCGACATCTTCTCCCTCTGATTTCAAGGTCGAGTCCGACGATTGCGATTCCTCGGCATGCGGTCCCGCCTTTTTCGCTCTTGCTTCAAGTTCTGCATCATCAGACTCATCGGCTTTACGTTTGCGTGAATGGTCCATCTTGATCGTGGTATATTGGGAGCGGTGAGCAAGATGTAGAGGTGCAGACACTGGGGATGACTGAAAACATGGTAAAATGCTGTGCCTCAAACGCCGAAAAGAGGAAAAGGAGGGGTTGGGGGTGACGCCTTGCCGCCTTAGAAAAGCCCCTATTTTCCTCGATTGCATGAGTAGGTACCTAATTGACTATTCCTTTTTTTCTCTTGGAAAATCCGATACTAATTGAACTTGATAAGATTGCCTCTAAGGTTCTGTCAAATGAGAAGGACGCTCTACAAAGGCGTGAGCTTGGATGCTTTGGGAGAGCCTATATATAGGGGCTGGGAAGCCCCTGAAGTCAGCTAATCTCGGTACGCGCGGTGTGGCCTAAGGAAGCCATCTCCAACATGCTTGGAGCCCGCTCCAAATACACGTGACTCTAGAACCGTCACACTTTCTGTCACCACCTCATGACGTACTCGCCTCGGCTCGAGGTGCTGCCCCGCCTCTAAGCGGGTTCCACCAATCAGCGGCGTTGGAAATCCTAGTTTCCTCGTAGACCCCGGTCGATTTCAGCAGCACCTTAAAGTACTCAAATAAGAAGATTTCCGGACAAACATGACAAACTAGCCCGGCTGGCACAATGTAAGCTCACCCGCACCTCACCATCCACAACCATCTCTAACGCATAAATCTTCAGTGGTTAGCGCGTGGGCCTTTTAACCAAAAGAGCAGCCCAAGGTTGAGAGTTCGAGCCTCTCGTCGGGCGATATTGCGTGATTTATCTTTTGCTATTTTGGGCCTCCTAAGGATAGAGCGCGAGGTCCTCATCCGACGACATCTTAAATATCGATTTGTGGGATTTTGAGATTTCTTTTTGCGATGCTAGCTTCGACTAATGACAAGGCTCTAAATTTCGGGCGGCGGTGCTAGAGAGCGAGCCCGACTTTGTTAGACACTCTTCATTTAAGACGTCGTCATAAGCTAACGCTGGATTTTCGTTACGACGATGTGCCCCTTACGATAATAGCTCTATGTTATTTTTTGTCGGGCAACAATTGCGCACCATTTATTTTGATAGGGGAGCCACTTCACGTTCTGTTAGGAGTGAAGTAAGGTAGAAGACCAGCATGTATCCCCTATTTCACAAGCGAGGTCGCTTATCGGTACCCCGTAGTAGCGTCAGCGTCGGAGACGTTGCCCCACTGTTGTAAACATCTCTCCTTTTCAATTCGAGAACGCCTGCTTCAAACCTCTTCCAGTTTCCTAGTAATGCCCAAAGAACAACTCATCCTCACTCTGCACCCCAAATGGCTGGTAAAGTGACTACCCTGAGAGCGGAGTCAGGGGTCGGATTCCAAATATCCCGACCACGTGCATATCTGACCAACAAGTTGTTGGATTCAAGGAACTCGTATTTAGGCATCCATCTTAAGAGAGAGAACAATCCGAGTCGAGAATTCGACAGTTCTGTTTCAGCTGAAAACCTTTCTCTTACAGTATACCTTTGGCTGCTTGGAATTGTTCGAAAGCTCATTCGCCGAGTTTCAAGCTCATAGAGCGCCACTGTTTGCTTGCGTCCATCTATCCGCTATCGAAGTATCACCCCACGATACTCCTCACTTAAACCCTTACTACCGCCTAATTCAGCTTTCTTATTGCATCGTCGACATGAAGTGGGTCTGTAGCGTTCTGCCGCTTGCGGCAATCACCACTGCTTGGGTTCTTCCTGAAAAGCATGTAATGGAACAGATCGCTATCGAGACGCACCCTCATTCCTATCCCAACAGACTCCATGATTCCGGTGACACACTCTGGTCCGGATTCGACTCTCAGGATGCAGTTGTGGTCGTCGATAATGCTGTGAGCTCTGCAACGAAGGTGATACAAGCAAAAGTTGAATGTCATCAATCCACGTCAGTTTTCAGCGCCCAGGAATGGCTCACCAAGACCGAAGAAGACCTTGACATCGATGAGTCCATCACTGGCCAATACAAGCCTCAGGAGAACCCCCAAAATCTACACCAGGGACAAGATTCTCTCCCGACCGTCTACCAGTTAATCACTAGCTCGGAATATACTCAAAAGTTCGCAAAACTCATCGATGAGCATCCAGATCTAGTAGAACTTCTCAACGGAACAGCTTCGAACTACACCGTCTTCGTACCCACCGACGCATCCTTTCCAAACCATCCAGACGACGGCAAAGAGCCTCCAAAGGAACTTGTCCACAAAGTCCTCTCCTATCACATATCCCCCCTCCCCTACGACGCCTACAGCATCTTCTTCGCACGCACCATCGGCACTCTCCTCACCGAAGAATCTCTCGGCGGTTACCCCCAACGTCTACGGGTCGGTTTCGGTCTCAGCGGTCTACGGCTGAACTTCAAGTCCAGGATCATCACTGCAGACATCGTGGGTCCCCTCCCTCCCCTCTCTCCGTCTTTTCACAAATTAATGCTCAACAGCACGCATCGAACGGCATCCTGCACCTCATCGACTCTTTAAACCTCCCCCCACCCCCCCTCTCAACCCTCCTCTCCTCCTCCCCAACCCTATTCTCCACCTTCTCCCTCGCACTCCTGAAAACCGGTCTCGATACCGTGCTGCATGACCCACATACCAAAAGCCCTCTCACGATCTTCGCACCTACGAATGATGCGTTCGCGAAACTCGGGCCGGCGGTTAATGCGTTTCTGTTCAGTAAGGTTGGGGAAAGTGTTTTGAGGGCTTTGGTGGAGTATCATATTGTGGCTAATCGGGCTTTGTATTCGGATGCTTATTTTACGCTTGATAGACCTGATGATGTTGTTGATGAGGAGGAATTGGGAGGGGAGAGGGAGGGAGCGGGTCCGGATTTCCATGCTGATTTGCCGACACTGTTGAGGGGCCAGAGTTTGAGTGTGGATGTTAAGAGATGGGGGAGATTGATTGATGTTAGGGTTAATGGGTTTCTGAGTGTGCAGGTTGTGGATGGGGTTGCGAAGGATGGAGTACTGCATACGATGGGTGAAGTGCTGCTTCCTCCTAAGAATCCGGGGAGGGAGCCGAGGGATGGGGAGGGGGAGGTTGAGGAATTTTTGGGGAGGTTTGAGGGATTGGTGAAAGACTTGTGAGGTGGTGGTAAGTTGAGGAGAAAAAGGGTGGTGGTGTGGGGTGTGAAGGTGAGTACAGACTGGCAAGTAGGTCTCTTTTATTCTCTTTATTTCGTATATGAGGCGATTGGGGTAGAATTTCATTCATGGCGTATCTTTGGCTCAGCTCTAACCAAGTCTCCTGGGACAATTTTGGTGATTTCGAGGAGGATTTCTTGCAAGGAGGGACATCTCTACTATGCCTCAGCAGCCGAACAGAATATCGCATCTCTCGATATTTTGCAGTGCCAATTTGATTTTAGCACCACTAGGACTTATGATTTACACTCATGAATAATGAAATTGAAGCGATCAAGCCAAGACTTTTGAGGTAGTATTTTCAGTGGCACTTGCACAGATTCAACTGGATTCCTCCATTAACATAGAAGAATCCAATGCAGCACACAGCCCGGAGCAATCAGGCCAATCCGAGATAACGAGCTATTAAGCAAGAAAATATGCCAATCCAAGCGTTTTTATTCTGCTGCCTGATTCTTCGGAGTGCAATTTGTGGGGCGGCGCAGGGTGCGGTACTACCTTTGGGCGTCTCTCAGCCTCACAGGACGTAAGCACCCTGTTCAGAGTAACCTTGAGCGATTTTAATTTCACAAATTTGCCCAAAGTTTGATTGACTAATTGTTCTGCGCTATTATGAGCTTAATTCCTTAAAACTTGTAAGACGGAACATCTCCTTTGAAAATGCCTCGCAACATCTCACCAAATCTGCTCTAAGTTCAAAAGTAAACGAGAAAGCTATACGCGTACATCTCATCGGGGAGTTCCACCCTCCCCGTACTGCTACCCGAACAACCCTGCGGGCAGTGCCTGTCTGGCCCGGCTACAGGGGCGGGGCAAAAGCCACTCGCTTGGGTGTTTGCACCCTCGACAGCGCGATTGGTGTCTTCACCACATTGCAAGCCACCAGATGGCGCTGGAATGATCAGATGTTGAACTGGAACCTGCGCCTCGCGTCAACACGGCAGAAAGTCTGGCCTCCCTCTCCATGTCTCAAGTGACACGAAACCAAGCCACTCGCGCGGCCTGATAAGAATGGAACGTCGCTGCATCTTCCTTTAGACCTCACCACCTTCAAACATGCCAACACCGTGAACCTCAGGCACCGTCTGAACAACACGATCGACTGTTAAGTTCACGGTCAGGATGATGCTGCTACTGAGGCAGATTGGCGTCCTGGTGGAGAAGGACCTCTACCTCTTGTTCAACCCAAAGAGCCGCATCACCACACTATGGCGCGCTGTCTACATCCCAGTCATCTTCTCAATGTACATGTCCTTCATCCTCAAGGTGTACTGGCCAAAGGAACAATACGGCATTGGTGTACCAACACAAGTACGCTCTCTGGCCGACGCGATGCACTATACCACAGGAGGGCGCAACACCTTCGTCATAGTCAACGACGTGAACCAAGGCGGGGATATCGACCGTGTCATCCAATTGATCACCCAACCTCTCCAGTCCACAGGCAAGACTATCAAGGTTACCGACAACATCCTCGACATGATTGAAACATGCCAAAGTAGTCTTCAAGGTACTACGAAATGCTATGGTGCGGTTGTGTTCAATTCCTCCCCCAAGGAAGGACCATGGGGCGTCTGGAACTATACCATTCGATCAGATGCTTCGTTTGGAGTCAATGTCGATATGTCGAAGACGACAAATGATGTGGAGATCTACCAAATCCCCCTCCAGCGAGCAGTCGATGCTGCCATCGCGACGGTCAACAGCACAGGGGATGCAGTGGCACTTGCATCGGTCGATGAGTATCGTATGTGACCAGTTCACCCAAAATCTTACACAGCTAACGTTGCAAGCTTTCACATCCGAGACCCAACAAGAATGGAAGAACGGTATCACAGTGTCTATTCAGAAAGGCATCTACGGATACATCTCCATCGTCTGGTACATAGGCTTCGTTGGTGTGATGTATCAACTGGTCGGACTTATGGCCAAGGAGCGAGAATTTGGGATGTCAGACCTAGTCGAGTCCATGATGCCTAATGTGCGTCGTTGGGAGCCTCAGCTGGCTCGACTGATCGCTCATCATATCGCATTCACAATCACATACGCCCCAAGTTGGATCATCATGGCAGTATTCTTCAAAGTCGGACTATTTCCCCATGGATCCGTTGGCATCTTGATCATCTTCTTCATCCTTGCCGGCCTTGCTCTTGTTTCCTGCAGCATCTTCGGTGCAGCCTTTTTCAGGAAGGCTCAACTAAGTGGTATCTCGACTGTAGTGCTGATATTAATCCTCGGAATCATCGCCCAAATCGAGGTGAAGAAGATGGATGCAGCAACGGTTGCTATCCTCAGCTTACTCTTCACCCCAATGACATTCGTCTTCTGCCTCTCCTCAACCTCACGATTCGAAGCAAAACAGGTGCCAATAAACATCCTACATGTTGCTCCCGGAAGCCCTTGGAGCCTCGCCCCTGGCATCTTCTGGATCTTCTTCATTGTTCAGATCTTCGCTTATCCTATCTTTGCTGTATACGCCGAACGATGGCTTTACGGCACTGCTTCCAAACGGTCTCGACGAGAGGTTTCTTGGGGTGATGGCCAGAAGACAACTCCTGTCCAGCTGACAAACTTCCGCAAGGTATACGAGAAAAAC